GAAACAGAAATTTCTTTGGGTAACACTATTTTCGGTACAGCAACTCCACTTTGCAGGTGACGTATTACTCTTTCCTTGTTATCCCTCCAAGATCAGTATATTGAGATGTGACTTCCATCAGACACTGGGATACTGTGGATGGCTTACTGAAAACAAGTCGATGAAAAATAACAAAATGGTATGACTGATACTGTAACAAAATCAAAGTGCTTCTAATGAAGAATTTTTCAGGAAAAGTCAAAAACGCCAGCAGAAATTGTTTTCATTATCTTACTCCATGACAGATACATTTAATTAAGACCATTCGGGGCTAATAATTTTGTAATTTGCAAGCAAAAATTCAATCCAGAGAAAAGGTTAGCATAAACAATCACTTTAATCTTGAGAATCTCCTCGTCTTCTGACTTAAAGCTTGACAAGCAAATTTGTAAATAAAAAGTTACTCAGATGTAAACTATGCTATTTTGTTACTAGTTTCACCTCACAATAAGTCGAAGCACCTAATATAACCAGAGAAGGTTGAGGTCTTCTTGCTTATTGATGCACCATTACCTAAAGTTCTAGATTTATCACAAGGACTTCTCTCAACTTCTTGTTAACAAAATGAAGAAATGTACCATCACAGTCACCAGCAGAACTCATCGTGCTATAACAAAATCTATTTTAATCAATGCACATTAGTCACTGGCAGGATCTTGTTCAATGACTCACTGAGCAACTTTGTCAATCAAAGAACTAAATTATTGCTGCGTTACCCAACAGCCCTTTAATCCAAATCCAATCCTACAGTCCTCAAATCCAAGCTATGGTTTGCTGAAAGGAAAATGGCATCAATTTAATTTTCACTGCAGAAGTGTTTCAAATTCTAAATTATTATACTACAAATATTCAGTTTAACTCATTTTTTCTGTCCTGTGAACACAAAAAGATTTATTTAATTCACAGAAATGCAGAAGTGCCAATAAACTGTCATCCTTAATCTCAACCTGCGTTAGGTTCAGTTACAAGCTAGAGCTACCAACTTCAGAGTCAAACTTTCCTAAAATTTGTGAGGTTTGGTTTAGAATCAACCTTACATCATTTATACATTGTATTCAGCTGCTTGATGGCACTTAACACTTGCCTACTCCATCCCATTACTCCTTCGGAAAAAAGTTGTCTACTGCTAAGTCTTTTCCTCTTCCGCTGCTCCCATTTTAAGAAATGCCTTATTTGCATGAAGAGAAAACCCTCTCCCCATTTTCCTACAAACTTATCGGGCTGTGCAAAGCTTGTATCCTTTAGTTTAGGAGTTTGTAATATCTGAGTATTTGTTCATAAGCACTCTAGTGAACGAGTGAACATTTTCAGCTTTTTTTTTCTTTTTCAGGGGTATATCTGTGGCCACCAGGAGCAAGTCGCCCTGTTGCCTTATAACAGCCGGAGGGAGGAAGGGATGCTCGACTTGCCTCCTGGGGATCTTCACACTCGGCTGGTTAGTCAGCATCAGCTGCCACAGCTTCCCTGGTGAGAGGAGCTGCTACGCAGCTTCTCCTCAAGCTTCTGACTCAATACTGTCAATACAAATGTGTATCCATCGGTCACACAAGTCTCCACAACTTGAAGGGACCGACTCAAGAGGGTGAAGCAGACATATGCACCTGCAATGCACAACCGAGGAGTTCTTAGGACACAGGGATATTTCACATTCAGTTTTGTATTCCAGAGTCATCCTAAGAGTCCCCAAACCCACTAGTGCAACTACAGCTCAAGGAAAAGCTTGCAACTAGGCAGAGAAAAGGCAGGAAGATGCTAAAGCCTTGCATATCCTCTAGACAGGACCCTGTAAAATCCTCACGGTCCTGACAGCCTGGCACTGACAAGGTGAAATAACACTCATGAACTTTCTATAGATTGCACAGAGGCACTGGAGGAATGTGTAGACGGCATCATAGACGTTAGCTCAAACAGCAAGAAGCCAACATTAATCCAGTTGGCTTTGATTAGGGCTACAGAAGATCCCATTTTTCAGACCGCAGGAAGTTTTCCTATCCAAAAAGACTTAACGGTGTCTTAAGTTACACAGCAACTTTATACTGCAGGAGTCCAGGAAAAACAAAAGATACGGTCTACTCTGTGTTAACCCTTAATAGGCATAGTACTGAAAAATCCACTAGTTTGACTGAATCTGTGAGCACATTAAAAAGTTAATTCCAGTAACCTTCAGTCTGACATTAAAAAGCAATGTCGCGAACTTTTTTTTTTAAATGTCAATTTTCAAAATGAATGTCAACTCTGTTCAAGAATGAGCTTCAGCTTTCCCCTACTTTAAAACAAGGGTAGTACTGTTATTTGGAATAATATTTCAGATGTCAGAGGGAATAATCACTATTTAAGATCAGTTTGTCTGAATTAGTGAGAAGCTGGAGTGATGTTTATGTTGCATTTCTTTATAACTTCTGAGGATATTTACCATAAAATTTTCTCTGACTCATCCCTCTCTTACTCTGACAGCTTTCAGTCTACAGTTGCTGCCTGTCAGTTATTGCCCCCAAACAAATGTAACACAGTGCCAAAAATCTTACTGCAAGTATTAGTTAGGCACTTTACAAAAAAGTTTGCAGTAGTGACATTTATACACATTTCTTTTCAACAGAATGCCTGTACCGTGGCTTTTGCTGCTTGTATGGTATGCACAGCAGAAATGGATTTGACAGATAGATGTACATGAATAAATAATACAAAAGTCTGTTTACTTCCTGGTGAACACACGCCTGCGTCCTCCAACACAGAGCATCTTCATTTACCCGAAGGCCACTGAGTGAGTCAAGACCAATGCACTGGCCATCTACTACACCAGTAGCCACGTGCCTAAAAATCTCTCTTCAGTTTGCACTAAAAAATTATGCCAACATCACTCCCTAGGCAGAAAGCAGTAAATACATAAAAAATTGGTAACAATGGGAAATCAAAAATCTGGATCACTGCTTTTCCTTACATAGATCTCACGATCAGCTATGGTGACTTCTTTCAAATTATGGAAAATCAGTTAAAAAAAAGAGCAACTCAGAGGTCCCCAGGACAGAGAGTACAGGAACGTCAACTCCCAGGGGCCCCTCCTCCATGGGACAAGAGGAGCATGCAGAAAGAGGAACTGCTTTTAAGTTCAGTATTGAGTATTCACCGGTACATCTCCTCCCACGGATCTCTCCCCAGGCAGCTGGACTGCACCAGCACTGCCCAGAAGCTCAGAGGATCTGAAAGCTGGAGGATCATAGAATGGCCTGGGCTGGAAGGGACTTTAGAGATCACTTAATCCAACCTCCCTGTCATGGGCAGGGACGCCTCTCAACTAGAATAACAGTGAAAGCCCTATCATCACAAAACAGAGATTACAAGTTTTTGGTTTCTTTAACCAGGGAGTGGAAAGAACGCAGGATGATAATTTTAAATAGTGTGTGTGTATTCAAAATAAAAAGGAAACAAATAAGTCACACTCGAATGTAAACATAAAGGTCTCTTCCAGCCCAATGCATTCTATGATTCTATTCTATGATTCTATATACTCATTTCTGCTTCATGAATTAAAAGAAGTGTTTTATTTTCTTTCAGTCTTTATAAGGGCATCAACAGAAATACTTCTAGCTAGCCTAAAACATGTTTTTCTTCACATTTTTCATTGACAAGCCAGGACTAAATTATCCCCAGAGCTCCACTCAACCAGTACATTATTTCCTTTGTCCTGGGAAGACCTGCTTACCCCCTTATGTCTCTCTGCCTCAGCCACAGCAAGCACTCTGATGGACTTACGACCTAGAAAATACCTTTTATCAGGAAGAGTGAAAGCAAGCGCTTTGCCAGGTGGCAGGAACTTTGCCAGCTAGGGTGAATGCGGCTGATCTGAGCCCAAGTCCTGATTTTGCTCCTCTTTCCTCCTGACTCCCAGCCAAACCTCACATGCCCCCCAGCCAAACCTCCCCCCTGGTGGCTGGGCTTTTTCCCCTCTCCCTGCTGCCTACCTCCCCTCCCTTTCCCCATGCACTTGGGCAAGCAGTTACAAAATGGAGATGTAAAACTCTGGTTTGATAATTGCTTTTTAATAAAAGGCATAATCGGAAGAAGCTTAAGTGTCAGCACTAAGCAAATTGCCAGAGTTTCAGTCCATTTTGATTAAGACAATAACTAACTTTTGTTTCAAAGGTTACACAGAGAAGACTGCAGTACACTAGGACACACTGAGATCTGGCTGTGTCTCAACACAGCATCCAGACCGAATGCTACGGGGCCCAATACTAAGTGTTCTCTGTTATTTTATTTTACTTTTTATTTTATATTTTATGTTATTTTTTCTTTTATTTTTTTTGCACACTGGCTAATGGGTCTGCAGCAGCACAGAGAATCCATAAGATGAAAAAGAGCCAACAGGATTTCAAACTATTTTCTTTTCTTTTAGATTTGCCCTCCTTTATTTACAACAGTGGCAAAATAACTTCAATCAAAATGAGGTTAAGATTATTTTTAACAGATGTTCACTGCTGGCCTGACCCAAAATCCATTGACGTCAATGAGAAGACTCCATGGGGCTTTGGATTGGGCTCTAATTGTTGGAAAAATTAATGTTATTGTAAACCACTGGTCAGTGCTGTCACATGCTCTCCTTCTGTGCCAATTCTATATGACCGGATAACAGACTCACATAAATCTGTTCCAACTGTTGGCTAAGAAGCTAAAGGACACAAAGGTTTATCTTTTTAATTCTTAAGCATCCCCTGTCCCCCACAGCATGCTCCATGGCACTACTGTATTTACTTGACAGACTCAGCATTATGGACAGTATTCACACTTTTAAAACATTTCACAGCCAAACACTGGGTGGGAATAATAGAATTATTAATGCTGACTGTGTGAAGACAGCTGAACTGCAGATACATATGAAATGAGATACTTTGGTTCGTATACTTCAAATACAGATTTTTACTTACTTTTTTTAAATACAGACATGAAGCAAGGGTTGCACTTACTGTTAAGAAGACAGAAGTCTATAAATGGGAAGGAGCCACGGCGCTCGGAGAGAACCCCTGTCTGACCTCTCACCCGTGCATCTCCTGCAAAACACAAAATCCCCGGAGATGTTAGAAGCTGCAGCTGCCTTTCTTTGCTGTTTAAATCTATTTTCTATTCAAAGTGATGACGTTACACTCCTCCAGTGGGAAAATTGAGGTCCAAATAATCATCTCCCATGACATCTCTGGGTAATTGAGTAAAGCAGTACAGCTGATCCTCTTATCAGAACAAAGGCACAAAAAACCCCTCGTGTTTATCCTATTGAACAGCTTCTTTCCCAGTAAGTAGACTCTCACTGCTTCAAGAGTAGTCTAGGGGGTCTAGTTTTGTTCCCAGACAAGCCCAGTTGGATTCTGACCATCATCAAAGGTCTCAATGCTGGACGAGGCTCACAGTCCATCTGACCTCCAAAGCTGTGGGACTAGTCTCAAAATCATGAGTTGATAAAAAAATCTCCCCCCAAAATCTGAGTATCTTTCCTAAGATAGTTTTTGTTTGTTCAGTTGATCGGTTTTGGTTTACTTTTTGCTCTTTGAGCACTCTGGAACATGTCAGCTTTCTCCTCAAACACCAAAGCTGCTTTATGTAAGTAAAACCTGATGTTCTTAGATAAACATTGCTCCAGAACTTAAGGATGTATATTTAAACATCATAAAGTGAAAATACAATACTAAGAGTTAGTGTCATTGTATAATTCACACTGATTAGTTCCCGACTTAAAATGTAATACTGGTGAAACAGGTGAAACTCATTTAAGGAAAAAAATGCTACCAAGGATGAGGAAGTTAAAAAACCTCTCTACAAGTAGACAGGAATAGTGGGAAGCAGATGTAATTTTTACATTTCCATACCCTTAAATATCTTGTAATGTAAGGTACTCATTTCTTTATAGGCAAATCAAGAGTCCAAAATAATAAAAATTCTTAAATAAGATGAAGTTTGGAGAATTAAAGGTTTGGATTAGAGTACTCTAGGTCTTCACAATACCAATTCCGCCTCTACAGAAACACAAGTCATAGTGTTGAAAGCATACCCACTGTACTTCCTCAGACAGCTCACACTCTAGGCCTCTTAAAGGTTGCAATAAAATTATGAATTATTGGTTAGTTTGAATTGTGCTTCCTCTGGCATACAAATACAGCATCTGATTAATCTAAACAAAAATAATTCAAGTATTTGTCTGCTAGTGCTAGCTTCTACTGCTTGTGTTTATAAACAAGAAAACATCTCACAGCATAAAGGGACCTAGTTTGATGCTGGGTTGTTGTTTTTTTTCTATCTAATGTTCACTTAAAATGTGCTTGCAATTATGTTCAAGGGAAGAAAGCCAAGCAGAACTATTAAGTTAAATGTTCGAGGTGCAGAAAAACTTCCATGCCCTCTAGGGGTCCTTAGAGGTACGAAAGACACAGGAGCGTGCACTCACATTAAGAATATTTCAAACACAGTTACTTCTGATTATAAATATAAATCTATTTTCTCTCACCCGTATTTTCACTTGGCTTTTTTGTTTCCAGAGACGGAACACGTGTTCCCTGTACTCAGCTCCCGCTTGCCAACCACTGGCTCTAAGGAACCAATGCAAAACAACTCAAGCTGTTGTTGACCCCACTTATCCCTCCTGATAGCAGGGACAGGAGGTACAAACCTCTGCCTTGCTCTTCAGCAGTTGCACTTCAAAGGTATGATAATAGCGTGGGTCTATCCTTCATCAGCACTTTAAAAATCACGTGCAAGCGAGGTATATACACTTGTTCCCTGGGATCCTCCTGTTCAAGGCCAGAAGGGTGGAGTAAATAGCTGGAGAGTTTCTAAAACATCGAAGCAAGACTCATCAGCACCCATGAGTCAGAGCTCATAAGGGAGCACCTGGACTTAAAAGCATTGCTCTCTGCCACAGGTAGACCCATCAGATTGCCTGATTCATGCAGAAAGAGTAAGAATGGCAAGCATATGGTACACATTACATAAACCCCCCAAAATCAGACAGGCTTGAGCCTGTCACTAGTGAAGCATCAGCAAATTAAAAACGGGTGTAAATTCAGAGCATGCCTTGATTGAGGCTTTTGTTCTGTACACACCAATGAATTAACAGGAAACTGCAAATAATCCCCTGCATTAACACACTGATAGATGTGTCACTCCTGACTAAATCAACACAAAATCGTGACTAAATCAACACAAAGTTGATTTGTGTAAAAAAGAGAGAAATTCAAAGTCCAAAAATCTGAAAAAACCTCAAGACATATGATACTGTAAACCCAGAAAGACCAGTTTTCTTCTTGGACATAAAATAATGCATCAATCAGATCAAGAAAGGTACCACAGTATTAGAGAAAAATAAAATCATACACAATCATACCCCAAAAAATGACTAACTCTGATCTTAGCATGACCTCCAGATTTTGAGGAAGAGAACACTGAAGGTAGGCAGACAACTGGAATACAGAAGAAAACACAATGTTGGCTTACCATAGACCATACAAGATAAAACTTGATACTTAATTACCTCAAAATAGCTAACTGTTAGACCAGAAGAAAAAAATCAATACTGTAGTGCATTTCAACCATGTGGATTTTGTTAAACATACGAGAGAAGGCAAGAGCTGAGTACAAAAACTGAAGTTGGAAAAGACTAAAAGAAAGGAAACTTTTGCTTGCGAACAAATACTGCACAATCTTTAGAAGATTGGGAATGGTCTCAAAAATCTTTATTGATGATCTTCAGACAGAATTAGGAGACCGTCAGTGAGACTTGATAACACAAAGCTGGGACGTACTAGGTATACACATAGCTTTAAATAAAGCTCACTGCTACTGTCACCTTCTCTGCCCTAGATGCTCTCCAGTCCAGCTACCTGCAGCTTCCACTTTCATTTTACTGGTAGGTCGTCCTCCTTCCACAATGCTGCTGCTGCCTCCTACAGATCTAAAGCCTAGTCAACTCAAACACGCACGTACACTAGTCAGGCAAGGTAACTGCAGTACAGAGAGGGAAATCAAAGGAGGTATTGATGCCATTAGTTGAAACACTTGCTATAAGTTCATCTGAAATACTGTCTCTAAGAAAGCTGAATTTTTCCGGGAAGATGAATACCTCCATGAAGATGATTAGGGCACTAGAGCCCTTTCACAAAAGGAGAATCACCATGAAGTAATGCCGACCCATTGATAAGCAGCAGAGCAGGAAAAGAACAAAATCGGTGATCAGAGGAATATCATTCTGAAGGAGGAGATAAAAACGATTGAAGCAGCTGAGGGCATGGGCTCTATACACACTGAAAGATGACCTGAAATAGTTAAGGAAGGACTATGCAAGATGATCGATAAACTTGCCACCAGCTTTATGTTCTTCAAACTAAGAAAATAAGTGAATGAGTTTTACTCAACCAGCAAAACCAAGGGCCTAAAGTCATGGAAAACTACTGATGATTCCAATTGGCTATTTGTGTAATTTTATATTTTTTTACAGATAATAAAAGTTTGGGCTGTCCCTAGCACTACAGAAATCTATATGCAGAAGAACTAACAACTTTGCCCTCGGGGAAGGCAAGTTTCTGATGAGTCAAAGATGTTATCAAGGAGCTCTACCTCATGAATCTGTTATTTCAAAATACTTCACGAGGTGCCACCTAGTCTCTTTCTACATCGTCAGTGAAAGATTAGTTAGGAAGTGGTGGTAGGCTAAATCAACCACACCTGCTTTCTTCCATTTTTTTCTTGGCTGACTTGTTTGGAAAACATTTATATTCTTTCCTATTACTTTTAATTACCTCTAAGTACACTCAACAGAGATACTAAAAATAGGAATTACAACAGATGTACACCATAGCACATGATTTTTAATTTCTGAAAGGCAAGGGCTGATCATGGCAACACACCAGACTCTTTTTTGCTCTGACAGAGGACTTTGAGTGTGACTTTCATCAGTCCACCAGACCTTTACATCGCTTTCCTCTCTGCCTTAAAATCAAGCTAAACAATTGTTCTGACAATTTATGCAATTAGCAGTTTTAGATAAAGAATCCTTTTTGGAGTGAAAGGAAGGATTCTGTGGAAGCAGGGCAGGAAATTTTGACAGCTCATTGTGTTCCCAAGTGAAACAAGCAGGGTGAAGGGAAATGCAAAGGGTACAGGTTCTCCTTGGCTGCCTTGGGCTGAAGATGCAAGGCTGGAAGATTTGCAGCTGCAAACATGAAGGGCTACACCCTTGCCGGAGCCAAGTTGCTACGAGAGCTTCCAGCGGGGACATCTCCCTCCCAGGGGCTGCCATGCCCTTGAATTTTACTTTGCCCTCTTTAAAACAGATAAGAAAACAAACCAAACAAACCAAAGCATGCTATTCTAGGGACCAGGATCCTGTGTGGCGCATGTTGTGACTGAAACACATTATATGTATTTATAGTCACGGGAAAATCAGATTTGGGGCAAGAATCACGGTACGACGGTGGCCATAGCATCAGCGTGATTTCAAGATGGGCAGATGGGTTAAGAAAAAAAATGAGGCAGCTCTTAGCTGCCTGCCACATCTGGAGGAAAGAGCCATCTGCACTGAGGAAAGTAACTTCTCCAAAACTTGCCTGAAATGATAAGGGATTCAATTTCACTGAGCAAGCACAACAAATTAGGAGAGAAAACGAGTCCATACTGTGACACAACAACAGAGCAGTTTCATGCAGCAGAAGTTAGGACCAGCCACCAAATTACTGACTTTATTTAGTACACAGCTCCGTGTGGTAAGTCAGGAATACCATGGCAAATTCGTAAGAGATTACAAGTATTTACTCTAGTCAAGCCTTTCTACAACTTTCATCCAAATATTTCTTGAACTGACTGTTTTAAGACTTACACTGCAGAGGGTGAGTACTTTCCATGGAAAACAGAGTGGCAGGAAAAAGGTCCCTTGTGGATTTCATGGAGCCCCTGGCTCCTTCACTATGACAGTTACAAAAAGGCTTGGGATTTCTGAGATGAGGGAAGATGAGTTGTTTATGTTTTAAGCATCATTCTTGTTTTGGTGGAAAGCTTTCTAAAAGAGGTA